GCCTGGGTTCCGCGGCGCCTGGGTCTGACCAGCCCTGCGGTCTCCCTGCCCGGGCCGCCGGCCCCAGGGTTAGGCGGGGGCTGGGCCCCCAGCTCCCTCGCGGCTGGAAGGAGCAGGGCTTGTTTTCTTTTTAATCAAGGGTTCTGTTACCTCCCCCTCATTTCTTCCTTCAGGGTAGAGTATGAAACCGGAATTTTCAGCGTGAATGAGCCAAATCCGTGAATCTGAATCCACGCGAAGCTGCAGTTTGTTATTAGTCATTGATCAGGATGATGAATGTGGGACTTGTATTTTTTATTCCTGTTTTTAAACTTGTTAATTTTCTACCTGTCTATCGTCGCGCTTTGTTGTGTTTTTGTTGGTGGGTTTGTCTGTTATCCTTTGGAGATAGTCTTCTGAAGCCCTCTATGGGATCCCCCAAGCAGTTGTGGACAGATTTTCTAATTTAGGTGAATTTTTAAATGTAGGTGCCTTTTGTTATATAACCTGTCCCACATTTATTTATTTAACACACGCTTGCTGATTGCTGATGACACAAAGGTAAAGTCAGTGCCTCCCTACCATCCAGCGACAGCCGGGGGGGCTGGGGATGAGTCAAATAAGTGAAGTAATAGTTACCACTGTATATTTCAAGGAGGCTTTGTACCTAAATTAATGGGAGACTCAGCAATCGCCAGTTTGTCAGGAAATGGGAGACGAAGGCTTGGTCTGGAGCAGAGTCTGGCCTCATCTCAGCCAGACCTGGCTGGGATCCCCTTGTCTTTCCAGTCCCAGGACACAGGGTTTGCACAAGCCGTTGTTGGCTTTGGTGGCATCTACTTGGCATTCATTGGTTTCCCTGAGGAACATGGCCTTCTTTCTCCCAGGAAGACCCTCTGTGCTTGCGGGTGAGAGCTTTCCCATAGAGACGCTGCTCTGTGGCAAAGCTGGGTCTCAAGGCCAACACCTGGGGTTGGGCTTGAAGGCCATAAAGTAGCAAGTGGTGAGTGGCAATCTTTTCCTTCTGGTACAAAAGACCTGCTTGTTCTGGGGGGCAAAATGCCCTCTCTATGGAAAAAAAGACCGAGGAGCAAAAGCAGCTTGTTGTAGTCCACGGGCAAGAAAGATCACCCCATGAAAAGGCTCTTCTTGGGAAAATATTGGACTTGTCCTGTTGCCAAAGCAGGGGAGGCTGGCTTACGTGCCACAGGGGCTCCAGCCTCCTCCACCAGGCCACCTTGGTTTCCCAGAGATGACTGAATTCATTGATTCTTCTTTCAAAATATCTCACCAGGAAAAAATCCAGTGAGATGTAAATGGCTCTGGAAGGGAGATGGACGTGCAGTTTAGTTGGGACAATCTCATTTATTTCCTTCCTTTCTTTGTACCTGTTCATGGAAAGCGATTGAGCTTATTCTGCGTAGTGATGTCTGAGGCCCGGAAGTTGTGTGCATGTCCTTTGCTGGGTGCTTTGAAGGCAGCTACCTGCACTGCGCTTCCCTGCGTGCAGGGTCAAACATGCACTGGCGCCCACGTGTGAGTGAGTCCCCGGCCTAGGGGAGCGCGCCGGGTGAATTGTTTCGACACACACTGGAGAACCCTCAGAAGCCGGGGCCCAGCTGCAATGGGACGGTTAGCTCATAGAGCATCAGAAAATACATGAGCGTCCCCCCCATTTCTGGCTTTGGGGAAACAAAAGTTTTTTCATGGGTAGGTGGGTAACTTCAGTGAATATCCAGTTGCCTGACTGAACTGAACCATGCCAGTGTTTGGCTTTAGCTCCAAATTAAAAATTCTCTGCTTTTTGGGAGAAAGTTAACACTAAGATTTGTGATTTAAAATTAGTAACATGGCCTGGCCGATGTGGCTCAGTGGTTGAGCATCGACCTAGGATCCGGGAGATTGCGGTTTGATTCCTGATCAGGGTACATACCCAGGTTGTGGGTTTGATCTCCAGTAGGAGGCGTGCAGGAGGCAGTCGATCAATGACTCATCATTGGTGTTTTTCTCTCTCTCTCCCCCTCTCTTGTCCTCTCTCTGAAATCAATAAAAATGTATTTAAAAATAAAAAAAAATAATTTCAGTAACATGACTAGGTTAAGAGTGGTATTTCTGGCAAGGGCAGAAACAAATAGTCATAATTTATGGTGAACTAAGGATAGAATTGGAAAGAAACCAGAGAGCGGTGTCTTTTTGATGTGGGAGAAAGTTCCCAAAGTGTTTATGTGTTAGCACTGACTGTCATCAACTTCCTTTGCTTAGCGGAGGACCCGTGCATGCTTGGCACACACCAGTGCCAGCACGTATGTGTCAGCGACGGGAACGGCAAGCACCACTGTGAGTGCAGCCAAGGCTACTCCTTGAACGCCGATAAGAAGACGTGCTCAGGTGAGGCCTGCTTATGGCTGAATAGAACTTATACTTGGGGCCCTACTCTCCAGGTTTTGGGTTGGCCTTATGCTTTTCTCCTGACTTTTGGCTGGTTTAGTGTTGTTTATCTACAATTTTCCTCAAAAAGTAAAATGAGAAGAAAAGTGAGGTAGTACCTAAATCAGCCTAGTAGTACAGAATTGTCAGTCCTTTGGAGGATTTGGAATTTTCCCGGGATTTTATTTAATTAAATCTAAAGCTACTCTTTCCTCTCTGTGACCATAGATGCTTGTGGAATCTAGAAGAAGGACATTTAGAAAGGTCCTCACCCACCTGGCATAGGAATGCTCACGTATAAGCAATGAGGAATGGGAATTAGGCCCATTTAAAACAAAATCCTGGAAAAAAGTTTTTGAGAGGAAGGAAACTTAGAGGTCATTTAATTCAACCTACTTATTTTAAAGATAATTGAGACCCAAAGAAGGGAGACTTACCTTCTTCGTGGGGTCTGTTACTAAAGAGCCAAGACCAGAAAGTCAGTTCCCAGCTTCCAGCCCCTCGTGTGCCAAGCTGCCCTTAGGGGTGTGTGTGTGTGGGGGGTGTGGTAATTATTGATTCAAGTTGCCATGTGTTCACATTGGTCCTGATCATTTTCGATAGCTATCGATAAGTGTGCTCTTAACACTCATGGATGCGAACACATCTGTGTGAACGACAGAGCTGGCTCTTACCACTGTGAGTGCAACGAAGGTTATACTTTGAACGAAGACAGGAGAACGTGTTCAGGTGAGCGGGGGGCTCTACTGCTGCCTCCTCTGTCTGCCTAGCGCCCCGCGCAGTGTTGGGGGGTAGGTCGCACTGACGGGAAACTTGATCTCTTTTCCTCTCTTGCCACCCTTGGCTTTTCCCATTTCTAAGTCTCGTTAGAAGTTAGAAATGGCCGCACGTATGTGTCATGGCCCACACGTGTGAGAGGGTTGTTCATTTCCTTCTCTGTGCCAGTCCTAACAGTCCTTTCCAAATGCTAAAGACAGTTTAATCACTTAAAATCAAATAACACCCTGCAGGGTATTGGTTACTTATACAGGAAAACAGTAACGTCATGGTGGGGAGACGTGGCGGACACCACCTTCACCAAGCGATCACAGTTAGCATCAACGGTGACGCATAGTGACATCGTGCACCTCCCGACACGAGGCACTGAGGGCACAGCAGCGCTTCCGTGGTCCTCTCACCAAAATATCAGAATCACAAGGAAACATCAGACAACCCCAGACCGAGAAACATCCTGCAAAGTAGTTTTCCAGTGCTTTTCAAAGTGTCAAAGTGAAGAAAGACGAAGAAAGACAGGAAATATTACAGATTGGAGGAGACTAAAGAGACGTGGCAACTTAATGCAGTGTGGAATCCTGGGTTTGGGATCCTGGACCAGAGAAGGGACGTTGGTGGAATAATTGGCAGAATTTGAGTGCTTAGATAGATTAGTAGATTAGTAATGAACCAACCTGTAGATTAGTTAATAGTATTATATCAGTGTTAATTTCCTGGTTTTGATAATTATACTGTGGTTATATATGTTAACATTTGGGGAAACTGGGTGAAGAACAGGACCTCTTTGTACTATTTCTACAACTTTTTTATATGCCTGGAATTATTTCAAAGTGAAAAGTTTAAAAAAGAAAGAATAATTAAAAAAATCTCCTGTCTGCTCAGAGAATAAATGCATTGGGCAACAGACAGTTTGGGCCTTGAGTTCTGAGGCTGTTCTGAGTCAGTTGGCCTCCTTTGGACTCGGTTTCCTCACTTATAACAGGAGAGGGTTGAACTACACTTTCTCCAGACTCTCTGTCTTTCTGAGTCTAGTATAAGTAGCCACACAACTGTTGGTATCCCTCTGCTTCAGCAAAAACACAAGTAAACCTAAACGGATTGCTTTAGAAAGTATTTTATGAGATACTTAGGTTATGAAAGCTCCATCTGGATGATTCTGAACAGGAGCTGGGGGAAGGAGAATCAGTATTGTGCGTGTAGGGTTTGTCAAGCTCAGCCAGCTTCCAGTAAGAGCCAGTAGTAGAACAGACGCCTTTGAAAGGTTTCTAAGGGCTTTGCATCTTACATACTTCTAGCTGCAAATGAGATTTCTACATATAGGTAATAAGAGACTTCTTCATGCTGAATTTCTTTTCTCCTGGGCTTTTGTCTGGCAGCTCAAGATCAATGTGCTTTGGGTACACATGGCTGTCAGCACATTTGTGTGAACGACAGAGCTGGGTCCCATCACTGTGAATGCTATGAGGGCTACACTCTGAATCGAGATAAAAAAACCTGCTCAGGTAAGGCACACTCAACACATTCTTTCCTATGTGGCTCTTTCTATTGCAGTGAAACCAACTTGCCATTCACCAGGAGAGAGACTCAAGGTAACTTAAAGCATCAGGCTTCAGACATTCTACGGGCCCTATAGACAGGCACGTATTCCTTAGAGGGCAATGAGCTCACTAGAATCTGCAAACATAGGTGACTTCACAAAATTACTGGCAAAATGGGTAGGGAGTTGGGGATATGAGAAAAACCAGTGAATGTAGGGTCCTTGTCCAGGAAAATTTTATAGCTCTGTACACTGGGGGCTTGTAGGCACATAGGAAACTTTAGAGGAAGTCAGTCGGACAGTAACTGTTGGGCGTGATAGGCTGAACTGATCTTTCTCCAATGAAAACTTGGCGTTGAACTGTTCTCTGTGGCGTTAATCTTAAAGTTGGGTCGTGTTAGTAAAGGAGACTTTGTAAATGACTGAGTTAGACCCACACCGATCTTCCAGTATGTTTGCAGCGAGTCATTCCTGACAGTTTCTAGATGATCAATCTTCGAAGGATCTGAGCCTTGGCTCGCAATCCCATGCCAGGACAGGAATCCTCATTAATTTGATTTAAACTCACTGGTAGAACAGGGTGGCATTTGTAATGTAAAAACACTCCTGAGAGAAATTCCTAGCTCTCCAGGTGGCATTTAGTTCTGGCATAGTCAATGTATACTTTTTAGATTTTATGTATATTTCCCTTTCCCTTGAGGAGATAGATATATTAGGTGACCTTTTGAAGAGAGAGGAAGGGAAATGGCTCTCACCAGTTTCCTTTGTAAAAAAATGAGAGCAGTGACAGAGAACTGAGCCCCTATTTTGTTCCCAGGACTGCTAAGCACTGTGGGGATGTTAAGAAGCGTAAGTTTCTGCCTCTGAGCCACTTACGGGCTGGGTGCAAAGAGAACCAATGCCCTAAGTAGCCAGGGAGAGGGACCGATGGTAACTAAGGGCCTGGGGTGGAGGCAAGTCCAGTTGTCACCTGCAGTGAGTGTCAACATTAGAAACATACAAACCTGTAAGAATTTTTATGAGTTTATTTGAGCCAAACTGACACTTGCCTGGAAGCAAAATCTCAAGGGATTGAGAAATGAGAAAGTGCTCTGGAAAATGGCAGTTTTACCACTTTTTTTTTTTTTTTAATTGATTTTAGAGAGAGAGGAAGGGAGAGGGAGAGAGAAATATCGATGTGAAAGAGAAACATTGATCGTTGCCTCCCGATTGACCCCCAACCTGGGTATGTGCCCTGACTGGAATCAAACCTGCGACCCTTACTGAGCCACACCAGCCACGGTTTACTGCTTATTTTACACTTTAGAATCAAAGGGGAAGATGTGGGAGTTACAGGAAATCCAGTGGTGATAGATTAGGGAGGCTGGAGAAAGCAGAGTGGGGGAATCTCTGGGATTGGATTAAAAGTAAAAGGAACAGACACATCTTTCCCATTGGTGGGGGGGGGATAGTTAACAGCACATGATAATAACAATGAGCGGGTTTGTGGTCTCTACTCTGGTGCTTTGAGGGGTCTGGAAAAAAGAATTACTCTGATATTCCAAAGGTAGGCTATCAGGTATGTTATCTTAGATGCAAAAAGACAATAGTCAGGCTGAGTTAGGGTGACGACTGGCCTTTGTTAGGGAAAAATACCACCCTAGGGCATGACTACCCACCTTGAACTGCTTTTGGTTGGAAAGTTTTAATTTCAGACCATCTGTGTGGTTACTTTAGGTCTCTGAGTATTCAAGGCCATCATGTAGGCCTCCCCTGAGCTTGTCAGGTTTAGTATGTGGCCCCTTTCTGTCCACGTGAGCGACGCAGAGGTGATAGGCCAGGAGGTAGGCCTTTGAGGATGGTGACAGTTTGGAGGAGTGGAGAGAGGGAGCAGGCAAGGGGACTGGCTTGTGCTGGCTTGGTAGGGGAGGTAGGGCTAAGTCAGGTGGGGGTAGAGGGGACTCATGGCTATACTTCTCAAATCATTACAAGTATCCCACTTGGTACTTTATGCTGCCAGGAACACTGGAGTCCTGGGAAAGGAAACAAAAACAAACTTAAATTTCAACTAACAGATATGGAATAAAGGAACATTTTATTTATGAAAACCCACAAAACATCAAAGAAAATTTTCAATCAAGGTAGACTCCTCCAGGAATACTCCTGATAAACAGGCACAGACAACTTAAATAACCTGCCCATAGTCACACAGCTAATGAGTAGCAGAGCCAGGATTTGAACCCAGGTACTTGCTCTGTTGGTCACATGTGCTCTTAAACACTAAACTATACTGTCTCATGGTGCATAGCACAGTATAGCAAAGGGAGATGAACGACAAGATGGTGGAATCATACACATCATCATTTTTCTGTGTGTGTGTGCAGCTCAGTGCTTTCTGTTCCACTTTGTAAGCTATCAAAGGCAGGCCCTTAGTCATTGGAGTCATTTTTGTGCAGCATCAAATTTAGCTCCATATGTAGGTAGGTCCTTAATAATAATTTTGGCAGTGGTGAAGAGATCCATGCATAGTTGGAGATGTTCAAGGCACTGGTGGTCATCAGGAAAGACTGAAGGTGAGTTCTGGAATATAGTCAAGATTCAGTGCAGCCCCAGTGCTGTGGGTAAGAAAACAGAGGAGGCACCCCCAGATATGGGCAAGAAATAGAAAGGAAAAGGGCAGATGCAATAAAAGGCAGGCTAAGGGGATGTGAGATACGGGATGGGGAAATAGGCTTTCTTCTTCTGGAACATGGGAGACTTGTTGCTGATGACTGGAGGATTCCTTCTCAACACCTGTTGGGACGAAACCAAAGCTTTTTTCTCCCAGAAGCCTGTGGTTATTTTCCTGTTGTGATTTGTGACTATTTCCTTCCCTGCACCATGGCTGGTCAGTTCGTGACAAGTGTGCTCTGGGCTCTCACGGTTGCCAGCACATTTGTGTGAGTGATGGAGCCGCATCCTACCACTGCGATTGTCACACTGGCTTCACCTTGAATGAAGACAAGAAGACATGTTCAGGTAAAGACTGACCCTTTAACCCTATTTCATTTGGTAGGACAACCTAGGAGTTTTTCTCTCTTCAAGTCCGAAGAACCTTCTGGTTGGAATCCTCTAGGGGTTCCCACTTGGCATCAGAATGAAACAATTCTCCTCTTCCTGGCATTCTGCCTCCACGATCTGGTTCCATCCCATATTTCTCTAATTAGAAAGAGAAAAATCACTCTTGGGCATTTTTTCCTACTCCTGGAAGATGGGGATTCCGGCATGATTTATAATGATTTAGGGTTTAGGCTCTGACCTCAGTTGTTTAGCCATCACTGATTTATTTGTGCAGCAACTATTCATGGAGCTACTGTTACATATCAAGTACTCTATTATTAGGTCCTGAGAAAGGAACTGGAGACAAATAAGTGTTTTGTAGTTAGCAGTGTACAAGTCTTGCACTTCTTTTGCTAAATTTATTCCTAAATCTTTTATTCTTTTTGATGCTATTGTGAATGGGTCCATCTCTCAACTTTCAATTGTGCTACGTTGCAGCTGTCCAAGTTTCTATGGGGTCTTTTAATTAGAACATCCCACTGAGCCCCTGATCTCATGGAGCTTATAGTCCATCAGGCAAGATACACTGAAAACAAATCCTAAGTACCAATTTTATACTCTGTACCAGGATGGTTGGGCTTGTACTTGGCATTCAAGTAGCTACATTCTGGTTTACTGACTAGTTGACTGACTGAGATGGGATTTGAGCTGGCCATCCCTAAAAGGTTCAGTAGGATCTGGACAGGTAGGCAGATTATATTTAATTGTTTGGTCCAAGCTCTATATCATATCTTTGTAGAATGTGGGGAAAATGTACAGCAAAGGACCACTCCCTGTCCTCAGGCAGTAGTCCTACTCAATTGGAAGGTTTCACAGCAGTCTTCAGACCTGGGAGATTACTCTTATTTCTATTAGGCAACTAACTGTAGGGGCTATGAGACTGAGTAGGAGTAGCTGCCTCACTGAATTACAGAAAGAAACAGGAGTTGGCATTATCACTCTCCTGGGTCCCTTGCTTGAATGTCAATGCAACTCTTAGTTCCAAAGTATTTATGGGTAAGAACTAGACCTCTACATTTAAACAAGTAAGTAGAATAATAGTCCATACAGGAAGTCAGGAATTACCTAGTTTTAGTCCTTGAAGTATTTTGGCCACACAAATAGAGGTCTTCCTCATTTTCATTTTTTAATGAGGATGCAGTATCACAAGATTAAATAATTGTCTTACCTCTGCGTTCTTAGCTTCCTGTTATACTATCATTTTATTTTTAAAAATTAAATTTATTGGGGTGATATTGGTTAATAGGATCATATAGGTTTCAGGTGTGGATTTCTAGACTATCTTTTTAAAAATTTACTTTATATCGTGGGAAGTTTCAGATGATCACAAAAGTATAGAGAAAATATAAGGAGCTCACATATAACCATCACCCAGCTTCGACAACTGTAAACATGTCCCCAGCATTTCCTAATTCAGTTTCTTTGGTGACATTAACATTCCAAAGTATTTTTTCCTCTTTGTGTGGGCTTTTATATCCTTTTACCTTCCAGAAAATGCATTTAGGTAAGTCTTAAAAATGGAACTATGGAATCGAAGGTTTCTGGATTTGCTATGACTTCCCATTAACTCTAACATTTTGTGTACTGTCACTGTCATCAGCCATTCAAGAAGCACGAAGACTCATCTCCATAAAAGATGCATGTGGGTGTGAAGCCACACTGACATTCCAGAATAAGGTCATCTCGCACCTGCAGGGGCTGAACACCAAGAATATCCTTTCCAGAAGGTTTTCTGCTTCTGCTTAAAGCCAACCTAGGTGCTACAATGAGCCCAACATTTTAGGATATTCCATAGGATAAGGGCCTGCCCTATGCATTAAATTTTAAGATGAGCAATTGTAATACTGTACAGCTTTTGTTTTTTAAATTTAGAGTTCTTTTTAAGAGACTGTTTTACCCATTTAGTATTTATATGTGAAAGCCAACTCTCTCCTTCCCTAATGTTCTCCCATAGTTGTGTATGCTCCGAATTGTGCTGTTCTGAGCAGATGAGCTGTTATGCCAAGATGCCTTGATACGGCTTCTTAGTTCAGAATCTGTACATGCACAGAGGGAGTCGGCTGATTAATGGGGTGCGGTAGCTCAGATGACACATAGCTGTAACACTTGGGCTGGCCAAGTGGTCCATAAGCAGACTTGAAATGTAACATGGTACCATGTCAGAAACTTTCAAAGTCAGTTCTTTAGTCAAAGTTGTGTTTCAGAGGAAGTACTTCTTAGCACAGCTCAGGTTAACACCACTGTTCCTAGGGATCTTAGAGGAGTGGTATTTGAACTGTGATAGGCATACCCTAGGAGTACGCAGAGACTTTCCAGGGGTATGGTACATGTGTGTGGGGGTGAAGAGGTGGCTGGTGGACAGAAAGTTTTAAGGGGACCAGTTTCCAAATCCTTCACTTCCTTAAACTGATCTGCCTAAAATGGTACTTGGGGTCAGTTGGCAATCTTTTCCCATCTCACGTCAGTATCACCCTTCTTCTGACTTTACACAAGAAAGGCATACCTCTCACTAGCCTGAATCTTCCTAAGGTGATTTTCTTGGAAAAGTAAAATCTTCAGAAAGCCAAAACAAAAGGACAATTCAACAGTTTTTTAAACCAAGTCTTCATAAACACTGCTCCGCAATCCATTCCGTTAAGAGATACCTTTTGAATTAAATTTTACTTTTTATTTGAACGAGTCTGTGTCAAAATTTGTAACTCATTTGTTGTTTGGATCCATTATGTGCTCATAATAGTTGTATTGATAACTCAATCCAGATGATTTAAAAAAAATTGGGGTCTTATGGTCAAAGAAAGTTATTTGAAAGCTAATTTCAATATAAATGTGCGTGCTTGTTTGTGTAAGTTTACTTGAGAGAAGTATAAGAGAGTGATCAAGAAAAGATTTCCGAGATTCACAGAAGAGTCAAATTCTGTGGAGAAAGTAGAAAGGAAATACAAATTCTTTTATTTTAAATATTCCATTTTAGAAGAATGATACTAGGTATCAGTTCAGAATGGTGTTACTATTACATGGGATACAATTGAAAGATGGACTTAAATTTTATTTTAGAGTCAATATTTATAACAGAAATTGCATACTTTGTAACTAAAACTTATGATGAAAATTTTCATATAATTTAAATTTGCACAAGATATCACTCATTTGTCAAATTGTTTAGGGGATGTATGGGCACAATGTTTGAAGACTGCTGCTTTATATCATGCTTTCTGAAGAAAAGAATTTCTGAGTTTTACATTAGACTTTTGATGAGAAAACAGTTTACTCTTTTTCTTTATTTCCAATAGAACATAATTATTTTCTTTTATTTTGTATTGAAATGTTTGAAAGTGTGTTGATGGTTTCTAATGTCTAAAAATAAATGGTGTTGGCCTTAACAGCTAGCCACTCGATGACATTTTGGACAAATTGCAAGCAAAGGAGCATGGACAAATACATCATTAAACTGATCAAAATTTTCACCCTGGCCCACATGGCTCAGGTGGTTGAGCTGCGTCCCAAGCGCCAGAAGGTCGCCGGCTCAATTCCAGGCAAGGCACATGCCTGGGTTGTGGAGTCGATCTTCATTAGGGAGCATGCAGGAGGCAGCCGATGGATGTTTCTCCCTATCTTTCTATTTCCCTTCCTCTCTCTCTCTCTCAAATGAATAAATACATATTTTTTAAAAATTGCTCAGAATTTTCACCTGGAAATATGGAGAATGTGGTGCATTTAATACTTTTGCACATTCCCATGGTGCTAATAATCTGCCCTTACAAATGCTTGAATATTACTGGATAAGTAGTTAAGAGGATCTTCTGGAGAATCAGTACCATTTTTCTAAAGAAATAAATGTCCAGATCCTTATTTAAATGAAAACTATAGTGCCTTTCAGCTATGACTGTGAAATGGTTGCTAGGAAGTAGAATGAAAAATTTAGTATTTCTTTACTAATTGAGTCATTTCATTTTTTTTCAGTTCCTAAGTTCTCATTTTATTCTCAAACATGTCTGTTATTTCTATAATTATGTTCATATTATATATTCATTATAGAGATTTTTAAATGAATAAGGTATAAAGTAAATAAAAATCACTTGTATAAAACTACATTTTGCTGTTTTTTCCAGTGTTGTTCTTTTATAAATGTACATTTTTTTGTTCTTTTTAAAAAGAAATTTTTATTGAATTCATTGGGGTGACATTGGTTAAGGCATTCATATAGGTTCCAGGTGTACAATTCTATATCGTCTGTACATTGTATTGTGTGTTCACCACCCCAAGTAAAGTCTCCTTTTGTCACCACTTATCTCCCTTTACTCTCTGCTAACTGCACCCCCTTCCCTCTGGTAATCACCATATTGTTGTCTGTGTCTGTGTTTATGAGTTTGTTTTTTAATCCCTTCACCTATTTCACCCAGTCCTCTAACTCCCCTCCCCTCTGACAGCTTGTCAGTCTGTCCTCTGTATTTAGAGTTTGTTTCTATTTTGTTTTGTCCATTAGATTCTACATATATGTGAAATCATATGGTACTTGTCTTTCTCTGACTGGCTTATTTCACTTAGCACAATACTCTCCAGGTCCATTCATGCTGTCACAAAAGGTAAGATTTTCTTTTTTATGGCTGAGTAGTATTTTACCATGTTCACCCACTCATCTACTGATAGACACTTGGGCTGCTTCCAAATCTTGGCTATTGTAAATAGCACTGCAATTAACCTAGGGGTTCATATATTCTTTCGAAGTAGTGTGTTAGATGTCTTCAAATATATTCCCAGAAGTGGAATTGCTGGGTCATAAGGCAGTTCCATTTTTAATTTTTAAAAAAACCTATCTTTAATGATTTCAGAGAGAGGAAGGGAGAGTAGAGAGAGAGTTGGGACATCAATGATGAGAGAGTCATTGATCGGCTGCCTCCTGCACACCGCTGACTGGGGATCGAGCCCACAACCCGGGCATGTGCCCTGACTGGGAATCGAACCACGATCTCCTGGATCCTAGGTTGATGCTCAACTGCTGAGCCACGCCTGGCCCGGCCATTTTTAATTTTTGTCATATTGCTTTCCAATCTGCATTCCCACCAACAGTGCACGAGGGTTCCCTTTTTGCCACAGCCTGGCCAACACTTGTTTTTTGGTTTATTGATGACAGCCATTTTGACAGGTGTGAGGTGATATCTCACTGTGGTTTTAATTTGCATCTCTCTGATGACTAGTAAAGATGAGCATCCTTTCATATGTCTATTGGCATTATTGAGGTCCTTTGCCCATTTTTTAATTGGATTGTTTTTTGTTTTTTTTTGGTGTTGAGTTTTATAAGTTCTTTATAAATTTTGGAAATTAAGCCCTTATCAGATGTATCATTGGCGAATATGTTCTCCCATCCAGTGGGCTGTCTTTTCATTTTGTTGATGGTTTCCTTTGCTGTGCAAAACTGTTCAGTTTGATGTAGTCCCATTGGTTTATTTTTTCTTTTGTTTTTCTTGCCCAAGATAATATATCAGAAAAAATATGCTGTGAGAAATGCCTGAGATTTTACTGCCTATATTTTCTTCTAGGATTTTTGTGGTTTTGAGTCTTACATTTAAGTCTTTTATCCATTTTGAGTTTATTCTTTTGTATGGTGTAAGAAGGTGGTCTAATTTCAGTTTTTTGCACTTATCTGTCCAATTTTCCCAACACCATTTATTAAATAGACTATCTCTACCCCACTGCATGTTTTTGCCTCCTCTGTCAAGTATTAATTGACCATAAAGGTGGGGGTTTACTTCTGGGCTCTGTTCTGTTCCATACAATGGGAACTTTTGGCCTATTTTTCTCTGCACAGTAGTTACAGTCTAAACCGTTCTTACTACTGAGAGGGTAAATTTTACATCATACTTAAACACAAAACAGTTCCTTTAGTTAAACTGAGATAAATATAATTTAGAACTGTTTCTTTAAAACTTTTTTTTTTTTTTGCTCATTTTTGCTAGAGTATTACTGAAGCTGTGATCAGGGGATTGTAGTACACATATCTAAAATAGCTAACACAGTGCTGGCCGGGTTTCTCAGCTGCGTAGAACGTCGCCCCTATATGCCAAGGTTGGGAGTTCAATCCCTGGTCAGTGCACATACAATAATCAACCAATGAGAGCATAAATAAGTGGAACAACAAATAAGAGAGAGATGCTTCTCTCAAATCAATAAATAAAAAATTTAAAAAAAGTATTCTAACTTTTCACCAAGGACAAAACCCCTAAAATTACTTTATTATTTTACCTTATGATCCAATCAATAAAATTGTTTATAAATATTGCTGTAACAAGTAACAAAACCTAATGTTGTCATTTTAAATGTTAGTGATAAGCCTTTTTTTCACTTACATATTTGACACATAAAACTTTTTTCAGCTTTAACACCTACCACTTTTAGAAGAAAACAGTCCTTTAAGTTGTGTACTTCTTAATTCTTTTTTTGGTTTGTATTGTCTTTAGTATAATAAAAAAGTATCTATATTACTATCATGCCTTTTTTGGGGGGGGGGTGATTCATCAATTTTGTCTGTTAACATATTTCCTTAAAGTGAATTAATTATTTTGCATAAAGAATAGTTTCTTGTCAAAAAACAATGTGACTCTTTCTATAACTGAGATCTCATGCTCTGAAGATTAAAAATATAAGTTCAGGTTAAACAGAAAGGCTTTAATCAAGAATGTTGTGGGAGAGGGAGTAAAGTAAAATTACCTAAGTTTATATAAGATAATGATGAGGGTATATTAATATATGTGCCTGAAAAGCAAACGGAAAATCCAGAAACAGTCAAAATCCAGAAGCAGTCAAAAATCTAAAATACGAACTTTGAAGGGAATAAATGAAAAATAGATACATCAAGGCAGTATATATCTTATGAAATATATATTGTTATTTCTCAACATTTTTGAAAGGACATGAAATAGAGCAGTATTATTTTCCCAACTTATTTGAGCACAGAATCAGTAACATATTAATATTTCACAGAGCAATGGTGCTGCAGAGAAAATAAATGAGAGCGCATGTTCAAGTGCTAAGGTATTTAGAGATGGTTTTTCAAGAGCGTGACCATTGGTAACTAGCTTCAATTAATCGTGTCTTAAGTGTGACCAGTTGGTTGGGATCCCCTGGCTTGGATAATACTTGCTTCTTGAGTCCAGCATAGGGAGACGGGGAGGAGGTGCCAGGTATCTTAGGAATTTCCAGTTTGGTGCTCTAAAAACAGATACACCTGCATTTGAAAACAAACACATATTATCCGAATGCATTGGGGTTAAGTTGGGAAATAATTCCTCAGGAAGATCTGCTTGATGTGTTTGGCTAGGCACAACTGGCCAAGAGGGCAGGGACATCACAGGATGCACAAAATGGCCTTGGAAGCATCGAGGAACGGTGGGGTGCAGGAAGCACGCTTAGAGCGAAGACATTTTAGGACAGAAGGGAGACCTGACTTTAAGCCAGGGCTTAGGCTGGTAGAAAGGCAGCAGGAGCCGGGTCCTGAGCGCCACGGGGGAGGCACAGGCCCGGGAAAGCAGCTGTACGTGATTTGCCCGAGGCGGGGAAAGACCCTGGGCGGGGAGACTGGCTACTGCTGCCTGAAGTCCGTCCCAGGTTATACGGATCAGAGCCGGCGCTGCAGAACACGGTGGCAGGCAAAACCAGAGAGACAACATGGGGGAGACAGTAATTTCATGAGAGGTTCTGCCCTGCGCCTAAAACCGTGGTGCTTTGCACGCTTCCAGCCTTTCGGAAAGCACACAGGAGAAATGAAGAGGGAAGGAAGGTGGAGAGAGGAGAGAAGAGACAACAGCGGACTCCAGGCGAGAAGACACCGGATGCCTCAGCCGTTTACAAATGGAAGGCCGTGCCCCGAGGGCAGCTGCATGCTGGGATGGCCCAAAGCTCACACACATTTTCATAAGGACCCCTGGGCCGCAGTAACAACTGTTAAAAAGGCCTAAAACACACCGAAGGAACTCAGACTCCAACCCTCACCTCGCTCCGGGAGCTCCCTGCGCCCCCAAAGCCCAAGGGGAGGTTTAAATGCTCTGAGAACGAGTCCGTGGTTTCATTTGCCCGAAGGCGCCAACCCACCAGCTGCAGTTAATGACTTTTCCCTTCAACCAAGCTGGGGCGCCGGGGCGCCGGGGCGCCCAAAATACCCGACCGCTGCACGGGCGCCCTTCCCCCTCAATGGCCGCCGACACCTCCCGCGAGCTTCACAGCGACCGTCGGCGTGCGGCGCGCGGACCGAGCCCGCCGGGACGCAGG